ACACCTCAGCTAGCTCGAAATAGTAAAGCATGTGATTCCACGAGTGGTCTTCAGAATTAGAAGACAGAACTAAGACACAAATGTTATGAGTTTTATCAGGAACAAAATCCTGGCAGTAGAAACTCCATAAAAACTAATTCAGTCACTGTACGTAAGGAGTCCAGAAAGTAGTTATGCCACTGTAAGCCGTGATGGCACCCAGCAATAAGTAAACGACGATACCGCGGCCTCCGTGTCCACTGCGAAAAGTATGATGGGGCGTTCAGACAAAACATGCACACAAGGCTTTATATATCTTACTCAGGCTGCTGCGTGATCACCCAGACATTATAGGGTTGATAAATCGGATGAAAGTGGCTAAATTCGAAAAAAAGCAAGACTTAAATATAAGGAACAAGTGTACACCCTAAAATTCCACCCCAAAAGTTGTTGGATCGACCCTAAATGCCACATCAATCATTTTTCAGGCTACATGGGGAGTATCGATGAAAATTCATCGTTACTCTTTTTAAAGATAATAGTGTTCCTTATAAACTGCCGAAACTGGTCATCGCAGGACAGTATTCGGGCTGTCGAGCAAGGCTCCAACAGAAAGTATAAGAAATCGGCCCGTTTTATGTACAACCCTGGTAGCATTCCAGGCGCCCAAGGCCAGCCGGTCGTCTGGTCGCGGACTAGTCTTACAGTGGGCTGGATGTTTTCAGCAGTCTTATCAGACACTGTCCGTGCAGCAATTCTTTCGTGTGACTGACTGCAGGGAATTTACGTGCCCTCTCAGGCGATTTCGGAGAGGAGGTGAGAATTGACAAGTCCGTACAGAAGTCAGCCAGTCCTAGCCTCGGAGGCACTTCAGACCCGCACGCACATGGGCATTGATAGCGCGCATGGCGCCAGATCGACAGCTATCCTCCCCGCACATGCACGCCAGTATCGTCCCACATCTCGCCCCATGGAGTTTGCGTTCAAAGGCGTGCGTCGAGTACGCTGTGCGTGGCTGAAGTCGAGTATCTCGTCAAGCCACTCACATCATGAAATGTGGGGTCCCTAGTGGCATGCTCACTCCAGCTGGAGGGTGGTGCCGTAAGTGAAACATTAAAATGCCTTGGAGGTGGACGTCAGACCTAACGTGCGAAATACGTGGGGGCAAGCGTCGGAGAGGGGGTGTTGCAGTAAAATTCCTTTTCTCGCGAAGGCTAAACACCATCAGCTCCACACTGGACAGCAACTCAAAGCGGCTAGACTTGGGCGCCAAAATACTACCAGGGAATAAGGAAAAATCTCACTATAGTGTTAGGTAATATATAATCCACTATTGATGCAGCTGATCGAGATTCTCAAGCAGGCAGAATATGGTCAAGGAACAGAAAATAAGACAGCGCTATTGAACTTTGGAAGAGAATAACCAACCTTTATGCTCTCCGCAGCAGAGCTCTGGACGGATAGAATGTGTGAGATACAATTCGCAATTAGTTCTTCCTCATTTTTGGCATTCTCGTTGGCCCCAATATAAATGCCTGGGATGATTTTGGTTGGCTTCCCGCCCATGTACGCCGTTTGTAGCGTCCAAGCTGCCTCGGCTGTTAAAAGATCACGGAGGACGAGATTACCAACTTTACGACCAAAAACACCTAAAAACCAATCAATTAAAGGTATTCGGTTGAGTGAAAGACCCTCGACTTATCACATTTCCATAAAGGGATATGATTGACACGATTACCCACGAAAACTTGATTAAGTATATAAAGCGATGTCCACTGTAGGCCGCGCAGCGTGTCTAGCGCACGGACGATGGCTTCCTCGCTAGATATCTTACAATGATAGCAGCCGTACGCTCCATCTGCAGTCTTTTCTTTTTCTCTCACCAAGATGGGCCCCATATGACGGTTAAATCAAAAAGACGAAAGGAGTGACCGAGATTCCAGGCCAACAAAAAGCTAAAAATCCCCTTTTACTTTTTACACTTGTCTCTATTGCGGTAAAAGTGGGGTTTTACGTGGACAAGGGGGTCGGATCTTAATTGAGTGGGTGACACACTATGGCCATATAAAGGAGTAATTGCAGGCTATTTCTACCTTCTGTAAGTGCAGGGTTATCCTATTAGTTGGTAACCTACTCAGCCCCGGTTTGTAGTGCACCGTATTAATATAAAATGTCGTAATATGTAGCGTCGGCCACCAGTCCGTTATGTAGCTTACAAACTGTGCGTGTGAAACGAGGGGATTTGGGGTGTCTAGATGTGGACCTGTATGAAGGTCATGGGAATTCGTTTACTTTCATGTGGATGTTGACTACGTCCAGCGCCCATTAACTGGCACCCAACTCTCAAAATTGGCTCCCCTAAGATAGGCTCAGTCTGACAGCTAAACTCCCGCAACCGCCTTGACCGGCAGGCGAAAGCAGACGAAGGTATCGCCGTGTGCACCTTCACACACGGCGATTCTGTCCCTTTTCATTCCTTCGTGCCTTTGTCCTCATGGAATCGTCGGCCGCAACGGAAAGGGCCCTGTTCTGCGGACCTGTGCTGAACACCGTCTGCTATTGACTAGCACATTCTCCCGCCTGCCGATGCGGAAAAAGGCCACCTAGTTGCAACACCTATCGTGGCGCTGACAGCTGCTGGACTATGTTCTCGTCCAGCGACGAGATCAACAGAACGGCGACCAACAACGCTGGTGGCTGGACGGGCCATCACCTCGTCATCTCCAAAACGGGGCCCCGTCTGTAAGCGGTCGGAGGTAAGTTGACTGCTGCTTTCTTGTCTTTGTCAGCTTAGCGTTGGAGTTCACGCAATCAACTGGCCCAGTGGCTAGAAGACTTTCAACAGAAGCCAAAAACACAGTCCGTGAGGACTCGTTCTCTTAAGCCCCCTGGCTGTCCTCGAACGCCCTTGCCGCCATTCCCACGACCGGATGGACGAAAACGACGCTGTCATCAGTAGCCTCCTGGCCAAGAAGAACAGGCTACACAGAGTCTACTTCTATAGCCTAAACAAATCTCCATCGGTAAAGCATAGGTCTCCGTCACAATCCCAGCCGAAATCTACAAGCACAGAGGACACCACCTCATGGACCAAATTACAGTACTATTTCAGGACAGGTGGGTCTGTAAACAAGTTTCTCACCATCACCAGCGCGTAGTCCCAGAGCGTTACGTCATTTAGGGAACCACAATTCCGTAGAAAATAAAGAGACCGACAGAGAACAATGTCTTATTATTCAGGGGCTCCCTGAATCAAGTGCAATTACTCCCAATGATCGAATTTCGGAAGACCTATCACTCTTCCAAGGTCTTCTCAATAATATTTTGGAACCCACGGAGGCTATTGAAGTGATCAAAGCCTTCCGCCTTGGAAAACGAGCAGATAATCCATCAATGTCCACTCCACCCCGGCCTCTTAAAGTTGTGCTGACCAGCAGCGACCAAGCCAGTCTCATTTGCTCCAGGCGATTCAAGATTAAAGGCTCCAACCCCGGTGTTTTTTTTCAACTGGACTACTCGCCAGCCGAACGGCTCAAGCGTCGTCAGCTGGTTCTAGAACTAAGAAAGAGGCTCAGCGAGGGGGAGAACAATTTAGTAATATACAACAACCAAGCACGGCGGCGTCCGTCTCTCTTCCTTTGGACAGGTCCTGTCCGAATGACCGCGCAGAAGACATATTAAGTGAAGGCGCTAACCCAAATGTAATCACATCTTCCGTCAGCCGGAAATTGAAATTCTTCTACACCAACGTGCAGAGTTTGATATCAAAGTTCGACGAGCTGAAGATCCACCTCTGCGACCTATCCCCTGACGTAATCTCTCTAACAGAAACCTGGTTGACCCAACACGTGGACGACCGTGAGCTGGCCTTGCCTGGCTACCAGATGTTTAGAAGGGATAGGGAAGGGCGTCAGGGAGGAGGCGTACTAACGTATGTAAAAAATGGGCTAAATGTATCAGACAAGACCGATAACTTTTCGTGCAGTTCCGAGGCAATCTGGTTGTCTATTAAAGTGCCGAGCTCGCCTAGCCTCGATGTCCTGACAGTTTATCGACCGCCGAGACGGGACAACATGGCCGACGCTCGCCTGCTGGAGGAGCTCGAAAAGTTCGCTACGCGGCCGGATATCCTAATCATGGGTGACTTTAACGCGCCCCATATTGACTGGAGCTCAACCCATGCAAATAGCACAGAACAGACCTTCGATAGGAGTTTTCTGAACACAGCATTGAAGCTATTTCTCACTCAACACGTCATGTTACCAACTAGAGTACGCGAAGGCCAACAAGCCAACTGCCTTGATCTTGTCCTTACGAAGTCACAGGACAGAATTGATGAGGTGTCATGCCTACCCCCCTTAGGTAAAAGTGACCACGTCGTTCTTCTATGGGATTACTCGCTTTTTTCCATGCCCAATAAACCCGGGACAGTTAGAAGAAACCCTTGGCGCGGGGATTTCGACCAAATGAGGGCTGAAATTTTACGCATTGAGTGGGAGTCCATATTTGTTGGGAGCATACTCGAAGACTGGCAACGGTTCCGAGAAATTCTGCACGAGCTGATCGTAAACCACTGTCCGCTTTCACGGAAGAGGTTAACTAACAGACCTCGATGGCTTACGCAAGCCTTGAAGAATGAAGTGAATAAAAAACGACGGCTGTGGAAAAAATCGCTTTCTGACAGGAGCCCAACATCTATATGCGCGTACAAAATTCAAAGAAATCGAGTCAAGGGTCTTATTCTCAAAACTAGAAAGGAATTCGAACGGGATCTGCTTAACCGTGCCGCGGAGAACCCTAAATTATTCTACGGTTACATTAGGCAGTGCACGCGGAACAAGGACCCAATACCCCTGCTAAGGACAGCTGAAGACGAGCATCTCACTGACGACAGGGCGAAAGCTGATCACGGTTCAGAATTTTTTCGGTCTGTTTTTAGTAGCGAAACAGGATACAACCCTTCGGCCCTTCAATCCTTCGAAGACACCCCAATTATAGAGACTGTCCAGTTCACTGAGGGTATGGTTCTGACGGAGTTGCTGAGGCTAAAGGAATCCAAATCACCAGGTCCCGATGAGATTCCGGCGAAGATTTTGAAGGAACTCGCCGGTGAGTTGTCTAAGCCACTCTCCATGCTTTTCCATACATCCTTCGAGACCGGATATCTGCCACCCGACTGGAAGTCGGCGTGGATTACGCCGCTGCACAAGGGCGGAAGTCGGGTCTCTGCGAACAATTACAGACCGGTCAGCCTCACCTCCATTTGCTGTAAGATTATGGAGAAGATAATAAAGCAACAACTAATGCAGTTCATTGAACAAAACCATTTGCTTTCCGATTCTCAGCATGGATTCCGAAAAGGCAGATCCTGTGTGCCAAACCTGCTCTACTGTCTGGAACGCTGGACTAGGGCTGTTGATAGAGGAGATATGGTGCATGCCATCTATATCGACTTTAAAAAGGCCTTCGATAGTGTGCCTCACCACCGCCTTCTATACAAACTTAGCCGTGCAGGAGTGCGGGGTAAGCTTCTGATGTGGATTCGGAGCTTTTTAATCGGCCGCTCTCAAGCCGTCCACGTCGGTGACCAACAATCTGCCGAGGTTGCCGTTAAGAGTGGTGTTCCCCAAGGCTCCGTTCTTGGCCCTACGCTGTTCCTCGTATGCGTCAATGACTGCGCAAACGAACTGAATTGCGATGTTGCAATGTTTGCCGATGACATAAAGATTTGGAGTACCATACGAAGCGAAGTTGACGAGGCGCGACTGCAGACAAGTCTGGCCCACCTCGAGCAATGGTCGAAAGACTGGCTTCTACCGTTCGACGTAAACAAGTGTACTTTCCTACGCGTCGGCAGAACCAGTTCTCCTAACCACACGGTCTACCGTCTGACTGGCAAACCACTGCAAGAAGTCGACGCCCAGAAGGACTTGGGTGCATGGATCACAACCTCGCTTAAGCCTTCGCGGCAATGTTCAAAGGTGGCCAAGTCGGCGATGTCCATTCTATACCTTGTCAAACGGGCGTTCTCCTCCTTTGATGAAGACTGCTTCGCCAAGGTCTTTCAAACTTTTGTGCGACCGCATCTGGAGTTTGCTATCCAAGCATGGCGACCCTGGACCGCTAAAGACTTGGGCATACTCGAAAAAGTTCAACGGCGAGCAACAAAACTTGTATCTGGGCAGTGGTCACTACCCTACAAAACGCGATTAGCTAATCTTGACCTCTTTCCTTTGAAGAACAGACAGCTACGTGGGGACCTGATACAAGCTTTCCGCATCGTGCGCAATCAGGGCTGCTGCCTCGCGCTTGGAGACTTCTTCGAGTTGGCGACTACGACTAATCTGAGAGGTCATCCACTCAAACTGCGTGTGGCTGGCGCCCGGCTAGACACCCGAAAGTTCTTCTTCTCCAACAGAGTGGTTGCAGCTTGGAATGCCTTGCCTGAGGATGTTGTTATGTCAGGCTCGGTAGATACTTTTAAATGGAGACTAGATCAGCATTGTAGCGCGCACCACAATAACGCCGGACTACGGCCACCTTGACAGCCAACGCGGACAATTTAGTGTTATAACGATGCTGCTACCAACATTTAAGTAATATATGTTTATGTTGTTTATTAAGCTTGGGCCACGTCGCACACCGCTGTTCGCATTCACCACGATGCCTGTAGACTAAACAATTTTACCTCTTTTTCCCGTGTCTTAAGTGTGCCTCAACTGTCCGCTGTATTTTGACCAACAAAGCAATTTAATGTGCCTCTAAACTCTGTTAAAGCATGACATTCTTTGTTCATCTGTACAGTTTTTGCTATTCCCCTCGCATTTCTTTCATGTTACTTCCTTTCCATTTCCTCCATATATATCCTCTGCATGTAACCAACAGGGATTTCAAAGGTACACACCTACTTTCCCTGAAATATACTGATACTGATACTGATAGGACATTTGGGACGATAGAACTATCTACTTTTAAAAGCGCAAAGGTGACCGGGAAGTCTGCGACAATCCCTGAGCAATACACCACTGAAACTCGCCGGACAAATCTTTGCCCGCACCCTATTCAATCGCCTCAACAGTTGTCTCGAGCAAGAACTCCTGCTTCTCGGGGTGGCATCAATGTCAAGATCAATGCGCGCAATGAGATTTTGAAAAGATTAATTGAATTCATATTTTTTAATTTGATTTCTTAATCTCTTACACGCTTACCAAGTTAACATTTAACAATATTTCCCATTTTTGGTCATAAGTGATCTAAGCTTCTCATCATATGTTTTGTCGATTTAACATAAAGCGGAAACGAAGTGTGATAGTTTATCATCCAACATAGCCTCAAACATATTCAGTTTCGCCCGTACATATAATAATTATTTATTCAATGCCAGTTTACGGGCATTGTCAAGGGAAGCGATTGAACACAAATCCGACCAGCAGTGAAAAAAACACCTCATTTAGAGAAATAAAAATTTAGTTGATGCTGGTTTTCATGATTTAGAGGGTTCAGGAGAAAAAAACTACTGGTAGTATATTTTCGACCGTCAAGAAAGGGGGGGGGGGGCTGGGTTGCACGACATCGCAGAGATTCAGACGTCAATTCCTTTCGTAAAGTTGGGGATAGTCAAAGTAGAGGCGTTGAGGAACAGCTGGCGAGACCGGCCATAGTGTTCAGAGACCACAAACGCCATCGCTACGGCAAAGTCGAACAGTGGATTCAGCACCCAAAATTTGTGGGAGCTTTTCTGTATGCAAAAAACTGAGTAATATTTCTCTTAAATAAAGGATAATTTTGCAGAGTTTTCACACTCATTGGTAGTTTATTCCAAATAGCAATTGCATTTACAGAATAGAACCGACTATATTTAACAGTACGTGCCAGAGGCAGAAATAAACAGACCTCACGGTGACTGTTACGTCGTGGGTGGATATGATGTCTTAAAGAAGTGAGTGGGTTAAATGTTTGATTATATAAGAGTTTAAATAGCAAAAATAGTCCCTTTTGTAATCTACGGAACCATTAAGTATCAAGGCCCGTAAGCCGGCAACGTCCTTGGTAAGACAAATGTCGGTGATTCAGGATTAAAATTCTTTTAGTAAAAAAGTGTTGAGCGGCTTCTATTTTTTTCCCGCTCAGTAGCACGCATGAGGCTAAATAAAAACAAACAGTATACCGGGTCAGGTCTAACGTACATGTTGTAAAGACGCATTCTAATGTCCCTAGTTTTGAAGTTTCGGAGGACAAACATGGTCGTTCTTATTGTATTGGAGACTATCAAGGCACAGTGCTCCGAGAGATTGACACACTTGGAGTATGATACGCCCAGATCCTTAATAACCCCAGGCTCATTTATGGCGTTACCTTCACTACTTAGTTGAGGTTTTTGGTCGTCGCCAGCCACCACGGCAGAGCACTTATGCCAAGAAAGAGAAAGGCGCCATCTGCGGCACCACTGGGCGAAAGCCTGTAGATCGCTCTTTAGGAGTTCCAGCACGATGTCATGATCTGCCGGCTTATATCGATATGCAACTTTAAGATCATCGACATACATGAAAGGCTTACCATTCTGAAATGAATCGGGTACATCATTAACGAAAGGGCAAAATAAAAGTGGGCCGAGTACACTTCCCTGAATGACTCCACTCCTCACACGTGTGGGGTTGGAGATGGTATTGGAAATCTTAACGCGTTGTGCACGAGCGCCCAGGTAAGAGGATATAAAATTCAAAAGTTTGCCACCTATTCCGAAAGAGGACCGTTTCAAGAGAAGAAGAGCATGTTCAACACGGTCAAAAGCCTTAGCGAAATCGAAATATACAGTGTAAAGTATTAGAAGAAGAAAATTGGCTCTCCGGAATAGGTTTATTTAACTGCCAACGTTTCAAAGAGCTGGGTCGGCTCTTCATTGTCAAAGCGTAAACTGCACCTAATCGATCAGAGGTTTAATTTAAAGTGGCAAGCTGTGTTAGCTGGCCTGATGCTGATCGATTTTTTTTTCTTCTCCCTCTGCGTCGGCCTCTCAGGAAATGGTTGACAGGCGTTTTTGCCTGTGCGCTTTATGAGTCACCACTCCGTCGAGGGGAGCTGATTGGACTTTAGTCGGGCGGTCGGTCTGGCGGTTCTTGTTCTTCCTCACCGAGTAAGCTCAGCGTCGGGCTATCTCCGTGCTGTCTTCTTAAGTCCGGTGTGGTTGGTTGGTCCTGAGCTCTACGGTTGTGATGACGTAGGACTTTGCAAGCTGCAGGAAAGTCCAGATGCCTGTTGATAGAGTGGGCATCGGAGAACCACGCTTCGAGAGTTAGCCGTTCTGTTTTTGTGTTACCTCGGCCTAAGATGGTAGCCCTCTGGAGGTCAAAACTGTGTCCCCTTTCCCCATACGCGTGTTGCTAGTTGAGATTTAGGGTCTAACCTCCGAGTGGCCGATTTATGTTCTTGTTGGCGAGTTTGCAATTTCCGCCCAGTTTCGCCCACATAGTTGCAGTCGCTCTCATCGTAATTTATTTTGTAGATGACTGCTGAGGTTTCAGCGGGTGGCAATGGGTCATTAGGTTGCATCAGGCGACGTCGAATTGTTGCTTGTGGTCGATGGGCTATGCGTACTCTGGTGGGTTGTAACAGTCGCGAGACCGCTTCAGAGACCCCTTTAACGTAAGGAATGGCCCTCCAGACTTCGGGTTGCTGCGCATTTGGCCGTTGTCTGGGCACCCAACGTCTGCTTCTCTCGATGAAATGCCTGGGATAACCATTGGCTGTAAATAGGTCCACAAGGTACAATCGTTCGGCCCTTTTATCTTCTGGTGTGCGGCAGTGTGTTTCGACTCTTTGGAATAGAGTGCGGACACAACTACGTTTGTAAGACAGTGGATGGTTGCTGTTGAAGTGTAGGATCTGCTCGTGTCGGTGGATTTTCGGAATACTGTAGTTTGCAGCTGTCCAGTGGTACACCGGCGCACAAGTACGTCAAGGAAGGGCAGTTGGTTGTTTGTTTCCGCTTCCATCGTAAATTGTATATCCGGTTAACTGTTTTTCTGCAGACAATCTCTTGGCTCGATCAAAAATATCACGAACCAAAGGCAAGACAGAAACGTCGTTCTGAAGATGGAAACGACGGTAAAGCCTGCGCAATCTGCGACGAAAGGGTAAGGGTAGGAAAACCTCATCCCCAACATTAAGAATTTGCTTACGGGGGACAAAACGAGAAATAAGCGGATCCAAAATTTCGTAAAGATTTGCAGTGCAAACATTTACATCCGAACTTAGGAAGAAGTCAGTCCAGTCGTAGGAATTAAGGTATGTTAATAATTCGGTTGAGCGAGTTGATCTGAAATTGCGGAAAAAGCTATACTGTGGGGACGACGTTTTGTCAGCCCCGAATTCCAACGTTGAAACAACTATGTCATGGTCTGTGCCCCCGAGTGGGCCTAGGGATGACACCGACGATGGCATGCAGCCTCTACAGAAAATTAGGTCAAGTATGTTTGAGCTTCGGGTAGGAAAATCGACAACCTGATTCCACATCCCAACCTCCACAGTCTCAAGAAAGTCTTCGAACCTTCTTGGGCCTGAAGGTGGAGACTAGCGGACTTCGGGAAGATTAAAGTCACCCGCAATCAATTGATACTTAAAGCTTAAGTCGGCCGCAGCATGAAATGCCTGCGAGAGTAAACGATCAAAATTGTCGTTGGCGTTGGGAGGACGATAGACACAGCCAACGAGTAAGGAGAACTTATTTTTTAGAGCAACCTGGAGCCAGCAGCTGCCTTCTACTGCGGAAAAGTGCGGAAGGTCAAGCGGCAGAAATGTAACCGTTTGCTTGACGTAGACGCAACTGCCCCCACCACGGCCATCTTGACTATCATTTCGAATGCAATTATAGCCCAGAAGAGAGAGTTCGAAGTCAGGTGCGGAGGTATGCTCATGTCTCAGTTAGTAAAGAAATAACCGGACAATCGACGAACACCAAAGTCTTAAGCAAACTCATATTATTTAAGCAAGGATCTGGCATTTAAAACAAAATTTTGAATGGATAGGCTATTTGTTTCTGAGGGAGATTGGCTATATCGTCCAGTGCTTGGCTGCCCACGGAGAAAACGGTCGGATATTAACATCCGTTCCTGAAAAAAATTTTGTAGCACCAAAAAAATCGGACGTGGATAAAAAGGGATAGGATTTGTGGGAGGGAATTACGGGCAGGTAATTTGGTAACTATTGATTGTTAACTCATTTTCGGCTGGAAATCCGCGAACCAGATACAGCAACACATTCCCACCGGAACGAAACTGAGGATCGGAAGAGTTAACTGATCCAGTATGGACACTAGCATGAGGAATACATTGGTAAAATGTCCGTGTTGGAAACAATTTAGGGGGTGGGGAACGCAGAGTTTCCATTGGAACAAGAATTATTTTCATTTTAATTACTTTAATGTTTTTAATATCTCTTTCTTACTTTTCTTTTGCAGCCGCCGAGGACACCAATGGTAACAGACACCAAGATTGCGATCCCGGCTAAGACCGATCTGAATAGAGTTCATAGCATGCTGCGATACTCATCCGCGTTTAAGGGATAAAGGATCGTAGAGTAGGCGATGAGGCATAATGGGAAGATATGGATGTGAGAAATACATATAATAACAGTATATCGTACAAGCAACGGAGTAACGAAGTAACCTGCCTGCATGGAGAGGCGATATTGATATACCAGCTAAATGACCAGTGGGGAACGCAGCGCCACGGGTAACTGCAGCTACGACATCCTCATCCCAGGTCCGCACGATAAAAGTATTCTCCCATTCAAACAACTCTATGACAAAGAAGATGAAGACCCGATCTCTGGGACAGTGGGTTTATTAGTCTGAGCTTTCGGTCTTGTACAGGAGGTCATCGTCAGAGACTGTGAAAAGGCAAAATCAAATGAGCGGTTTTTGTAGTCACGCCATGAAGGGTGGGTGGGGGGAGAGATATGAATGCAGATGGTGATATTTGCGATAAGTTGAGTCCCACGCCGTCTCACGGTGGCGTGACTGCGGCACCCATGGCTGGAAATTGGGTCTCACCTCTTGGCCGCGGGAACGGAGCGCGTGATAGCAGGGGGTATGTCAACGTGCCTGTTGATAGAGTTGGCGTCAGACACCCTGGCCTCCAACAGTTCTCGCCCTGTCTTATTGTTGGCCCACGCCACTATCTGTGTGCTCGTGAAGTTGAATTCTTTGCCTTCCTCCAGGGTGTGAGTGGCGACCTGAGACAACGGGTCGCCTCTCCGGACCGCCCGTTTGTGCTCCGTTATTCGTGAGCTAATTCGTCTTCCGGTTTGTCCTGTGCAGTGGAGAGGGCAGGCCCGACATGGGATCTGATAGACAACACCCGATTGTTCTCCCACGTCTAGGCGATCCTTCACTCGCTTGACTTTGCTGCGCATGGTCGATGGCGGCCCGTGAGCGATACCCACGCCGAGCTCTCCAGCGATACGTTCCATCGCTTCGGACACGTTCTTTATATATGGAAGAGGGTGCCAGAGTGTTGGCGGCTCTCCTCCGTTTGTTCGCCGTGGGCGCGTGCGGAGACAGCGGATGACGAAGCTGTTCGGGTATCCATTCCTTGCCAGTTGGTCTCGAAGATGCCCAAGTTCTATAACTCGTCCCTCGAGTTCACTTCAGTGCGTTTCTTACACTTTGGAAGAGTGTCATAACACAGCTGCGTTTATGACAGTCGTGGGGCGTTGCACTTTGTAATAGCTGTGGCTTTTATTGGAGTTGGTGTTGTAGTTGTGAACCAAGCGAGTTCGTTTTGGCGGCTGCCGATTATTATGCCAGTCAGCCAATCGCGCGCAAGTTTTCCTATATGTAAGTCTCAGATTTAACACTACGAGATCTCTCACTCCCCCCTCTCTCTCCCTCTCTCGTGGATAGCGATTGCATTTTGAAGAGCTTTACTCGTCGTATTACGACGGCAGCTTTGTGTGAGTGGGACTCGTGCTATGTCGTAACATGTTGTATAAATAATTTATTTTATTGGTTCGTTAAGGCATGGGAGGTTTTGTGGATGATTAGTGGATGCGAGAAAGGGAATTTTGCAAGATTTCCTTAGAATCAGTTACATTTTGAGGTATACGTATACACCTGAGTACTCAGACAACTGGAGTACGCCTTTTACATGCCTTGGAGCACTAAAGACGCGAATAGTACTAAAAGTGCTCTGCCGTGGAGGGCTTCCGATGTTTGCGTGCTCATTAATGGCAGAGGATTAGGTTGTCAGAGGGTTCTGATACGATGAAACTGTCTTCCTACCAATTCCAGTGACCTTGTCTAGTCAAAGGCAATTTAGGAGTTCAATTTCTGCTGCTTCAGTACCCTCTGCCGAAGCTGGTTAAACGAGAGGCCACTGATGAACGCACCGCTGATGATATCGTCACGATTTTGTTCTGCCATAATGGCTTTGAAATCTCAGTCCTCAGTTAAGGTCTTTAGCTGTTGTGCAAATTGGTCGATGGTTTGCCCGCTTTCCTGTTTGCTGGTTGCTAGAAGATGGCAGGCGAAGATTTCGTTTTTGGGTCTTAAGCAGACATCTGTTAGCAGTTTGACAGCTTTTAGCTGCAGCCTTCACTAATAAATTTCCTAACTGCCGGGGAAGCGTAGTAGTGCGAAACCAGTGATTCCACTGTTCAGCAGCGACTGGAGTTTTTGGGTCAACATCGAATCGTTTTGACCTAAAATATCTATCCATGGTGGACTTGTTGCTAGGACCGTAGCATGCATGCGAGAGGCGGAGCACGAACAAAGCGGAACGCAGGAATCATAACGAAGAATAACCTATAGTAGGGCATTATTCATCTTAAAATTGACGTAGTACAACCTAAGCGCGAAGTAGAACAGTAGTAGACAAGATAGAATTCTACCAGGTAATAAGTTAGCATAGCAGGACCGTGTTCAACCAAGAGCAGATTACATAACTCGGTCTCTAATGCTGTGAGTGATCGCATGCAAAAACTTACAAAGGGAAGAAATTAGGTGCATGGGACTGTCTGGGCTTTTGGATTGGGAGCGGCATGAGTCCTCAAAAGATCAGGCTTTCATTCCTTCCCGTGGATCTATGCTCATGCTTATCTTATTACTTATGGCTCAAGGGCACCTTCTCAAGCCGTAATGACATATCCATGTGCGAATTTAGACATTCCACTTTTTCCCTAGTTTGCGATGCTTTGGTCTTTCAGTCTTAGCAGTGTCAGTCATCTCTTTGTTTGGGATTTGGTTCTTCCTCTTCATCTGAAAGAGTCAGATCCCATTGTCTGGTCTGTATTGGATTTCTGGCAGACCCGTCTTGTTTCATCTGCTGACGAAAGGGCGAGATGTAATCTTCTTTGGTCTCCTGTCAGAACTTTTGCCTCCCTAGCTGTTGGCTACAGTAGTAATTTTATCGGCCAGGTGACGAGAGACCTATGGGTCTCTGTTGAACCGATAAACCAACGCCAACGCAAACACGACATCTTTGAATTTCCCAGCGTAGAGACGATTTTCGACTATAATCCAACCCTGGTCTTGCCCTGTTAGACAGTCTAGTGCTCTACAATCGCCTATTTCCTAGGGTTTTGCGACTTTTGCCTTTTAAAAGACTTGCGGGATGGCGGCTGGAGTTTTTCAGGCTTGACGGATAAAGCCTAAACTGCCGAAAGTTTAATTTTATCTGTCAACCCTGCAACATGCGTTATGAGGTGCAGGAGGCTGGCCCTGCTTCACCTCTTGTAACCGAAACGCTGCATCTGCAAAAAACCCTTACTTGTGTTTGCAGATCGCTCCTGTGCTAGTGATCTGGGGCATCTCCTGTTGGCGAGGCAGAAAAACCTCACCTCCTCGGATGTCTCCGTCACTTCCCCCAATCATTGTGTACTCTCGTCTAGATCTACGTTTCCACCGTGATAGACAAACAATCAAGTGGGTTTATGCTTGAATCCACGGTTTTGGGAGATAGAAAGTGTACGTCATGGACCTGGCCGACAATCTCAGGTGATGAGCCACACTTGTTTGCGATATTGAAAACTTGGAAGCCGACTGCAAGTAGTTTGCGGGGACTACACAACCTCATCCAGAGAAGGCATAATCTGAAACCAGTGCTTTCGGCACTTATTTACGGCAGTCAGGGTCCCTCCTGTCATCCGTCCTTTGGTGTTTTGCGACGCGATGGACAGCTGGACGGTTACTGGGTTCCTAACTGACGGTATATTCATGAAAATTGCACGACTCACTTGTGATTCCACGAGCCAAACACATCAATGTACCGTAATGATGATTTCCCAGATAGGTATAATTGACCCCATTTACCTATCTCATTCGATTCTGCTTGTGTTAGCGCATAAGTTCTCAGGTCGATTATCTCATTACCGGCCTCTCATGTAATCATGAGAACAAGAAGCACTTTGTTGTCTTGCCATTTTATTCGCTGCCACGCATCCTTTAGTTTTAACGCAATGTCGGCTAATTTGTACAATCTTGTCGGCGATAAAATCAAGTGGAAGATAAAGAAGTTGTGAAATGGTCGCTCCAAGTTACATACAACAGAGAAAGATGTAGGTCCACTTTATAATCCAGCCACAAGCCACCGAATGCTTTTATGGACGGCGTTGGAGCGTTCCGCGGGATCTTGGAGTCAACAGGCAAGACAGTGACTCCTAGTCAGTCGCATTTGTGGTGTCCTGTCGCTGTCTTTGTGGACAAATCACTGCGAGAGCATCAATCTTAAGGAAGCCACGTATGCATGGTGTGGGGATCGTGTTTTGTCACGTTAAAGGTGCCGCCAATTTCAGCTCAATTCCTATCCTGCTTCAGGACACAAGATTGCTAGGAAAATCTCTCACCAACAAGCCTCTCGACCTTCAGTGCGTTTTCATCTCCCAGCTCACCTTGACCATGACCGCAACACGACCGATTTAGGCTACCAGTGCATTGGGAATTCTTCTTCTTCTGTTGGGAGAACGCGAACGGCTAAACCACCGTAGTGTCCGATTTTCAGTTGAACGTGTCCCTGGCATTTGTCCTTCGTGTCCATTATTTGATCTAGGTTTCTTTGCGAAACGCGACAGTGCCACTTGACTGACCCTCCATGATTATGACTCATTTTCAATTTTTTTAGATTTATTTTCATCCCCAACGCTAACCCATGTTCCGTAAGAGGGCCAAACAACACATCAATGTGAACTCTGTTGCTCTGGTAGATCTCAAGGCTGAAATTGCTCGTCGGCAAGTGGAAGTCAAAAATAAGTCTACCCTCTTGCCCGAAGGATGCACTGTCATCAAGGCCAGCACGGCTGGCAATGGTGCAGCGGTCAAGTCAATTTTCCGGAAACCGCCTAAAGCAGTACCTCCTGACACTACAGCTGCTGATGCAGACGAGGAGGCTAGTCAAGACAGAGCTGAGCTCGAACGCCTGGAGCGTAGTCGTAGGACACTCGAGGCGAAGGCCAAACTCTACGAAGCCCTCAAAAGCGCTGCTCTGGGCGGAGCTCGTACTTCCAGCGGCGATGCGGAGGACGACTCAGCACCTCTGGTCGACTTTGAACGAATGGCAATGGAAAAGAAGGCCCAGGAAGACGACTACCTCAGCAGCGATAATGACGACAACGACGAGAGTCGTGAGCAGGACAGTGATAGACACGATCATCGACGGGACCGAAGGCCGCTCGCAGAACCCGTCAGCATCCCCGACGGCCCCATCACGTATGCGCACTTGCGCAAGGGTGAAGTGCGCGACCACGGTGTCGGTTTCTACGCCTTTTCTGCAGACATGGAACAGCGTGCCAGCGAAATGGCCAGTCTGAATGAACTGCACAGGAGCACTCAGCAGGCGCGTCAACGTGCGGAGGCGGCGCGTGCTAAGCGGGACATTCAAATGGGCCAGAGACTGGCAAAGCTGCGCGCTCGCAAAGGCCTGCCTGATGTGGCCACCGCGGTAGCCCAGTGTCTTGGTGAGACACCAGACGTGGTGGCTGAAAGGGCTGAGGACGCACAATCGGAGGAGGAAAAAGTGCCGTCGGCGCCACCGCCTTCCACCGGCGACCTCGCCCTCGGATCAGACGATCTCGACATTGCCTCGATGTTACGAAGGCTGAGGGATGAGGCGGAACAGCGAGCTGAGGAACAGACTGCCGCCGCCGCCGCCACTGCGACGCCTGCAGAGGAATCGCCCACCCTCCCGCCGCCACCGCAACCCCCGGCAGCCCTTCGAAAGCGAGCCAGAGAGTGGGATCGCGGCAAGTCCATGGTTCCTGCCAAGGTCTTTATTCAGCGGGAGCAACAAGAAAAACGGAATTATCAGTTTGCTCCCCCTCCCAGCTACTACTGACAATGACTTTCTTCCAATGTCGTCCCTTATGCACATATTGTACTTTGAATTTATTTTTTTGCTCTGCGTTTTTTAAACTAGTTATTAGATTGAACGGGAAGTTCACAGAATACAGAACAGTTGTTTATCACCAGCATGGATGCTGTCCCACAGTTAGTTGAAAGCAAACCGCTGCCTGAATCGGAAACCACATTTTGTGTAGCACTGATAAAGTCTCACCAAATAATTAAGAATAAGAGAGTCCATGGCGATGCAATAAGACATAAACCACAATAGAATTGCTCAGGAACGCCGCATGTGGCCGGCTATAAACTCCTAGCATCACCATTGCAAAATATTTAGGCGTCCGAAGTGCCTCACGTGTGTGACCAGCTGACTCTTCTCCGGTTTGCTGAGATGAGAGCCCCTGTTGAATGGAAGAGGCGACGTTTGGTGTATGCAGTATTTAAAAATGTCGCCGGCTTCATCCACTGTAATCTGCCAGGTGTCAATTTTGGACCAATCCCTACATCGCAAGGGCCTGTCGACGTGCTCCATTGTTTGTGGCGGGGACCTAAAATGGACATTCTCGCCAGCTGCCCTAGACTCGTCTCTAATCGGACCGCCCACAATGGCCTGCGGGCGTTATTCCCAGCTGGGTTTTATTTGCGAGCCTCACTCGGCCGCAATAGTTTCTCCGCCAAACAGGACGATGGTCGCTGCCATCCCCGGGGTTAATGGCGACTTGCACCATACTGACGTGCCTGTCCCAGGACTCTAAGACAGTGGGGTGGGTAGCGTAGCGCAACTGACACCACCTGGTCTCCACGGTGAGGTCTTCATCTGGAGCTTGCAGGTTTTCCAGTCGCTGGGTCGGTTGGTGGTTAAAACTAAAGTGATGAGGAGACAGATACAACAGAACAGTATTTAACCTACCTGGTGACCGGTCACCCTGCTCCCAAAACGGTCCACGTGGTGGATGCGTTGAACGAACCTGGAGGCCATGTCGGATTCTGGCAGGCGTTGCCGGACTCGCGCATCATAACAAATGTCACCCTGGTAGAAGGGCGCTCACCGATCGTTCTTACGGAACTTACTCGTTTCGCTGTGCCTTACGGCAACGGGCTCGCGGCCCAGTGGTTGAAGGCGTTAGACTTCTAACTACTAGGTCGCGAGTTCGAGCCTCAGGTGTTTCACACTTAGGGGTTGGGTGTGACCGGCTGATGACGACTGATAAGCCGGAAATGGCCATTCCAGTGTATGTTGACTTAGTCGGTAATGTTATTCTGCCATCCACCGCTGTGCGGCTGCTGGTTGGGCACAACGGGACGAGTGAGTTTCGCATAAACGATCGGTGAGCGCCCCTCTATCACCTCTATATAACCTCAGTGGATCTGGAGAAAGCCTTCGAAAAGAGGTGTCCCAATAAAATGCGGAAAATCATGTAGAAATTCGGCTGCTCGGAGTCATTCATGCACATGATGCGCGTCACGGATGATGGAACCGGCTCAGAGGCAGGGCTGCGTTTCCATACCCACCATTAAGGTGACGACACACAACGCAGGGAGCCGCCTACAACGGCCAATGCAGCGAAGGAAGAAAAAATTGATTGGTGCAAGGTCAACTGGTTCGGCCGTTTCCTTAGAATTCTGATCGATTTTTGCAACAAACGCTTTGATAGTGGAGATCCGACCAAGCCCTGAGAAACGTTAGTACCTGAATTACACTGAGTTGGTGTGCCCTGCACATTTATAAGACTATCTACCCGGATCTCTTACGTTTACTAACCTAAACTTCACTCCGCCTAGACGCGGAGGGGCCGATTCTAGTCTGCGTAATCTTCCGGATGGGCTCGCCAATCAGAACTCTCATGTCGAATGACCTTGACAGTTTGAATCGTGAACTGTCTAGACGCGCTGCACGCGGAGGCGCCGGCGGCCGCCATGATAGATGTCGCTTGAAGGCACCCAGACGACTCGCATTGTGCGGTAGTTCTACCTCGGTTTTGGCAAATATTGTACCATATATTTGTGAGGAACCGCTGGTCGTGACGAACAGGTGCATCGCCAGCCTCAGCTGCAGTTATGTAGGTCGTAAACAAACCAGACACTGCCTTCCCCCTTCCTCGTAAAATACCCCGGACTGTTAAATCGACCGCCGTTCATCGCACGAAAGAGTGGATGCTTGAATGAGAATTCGGTCGGTTGATCGACACCGCATACGTCGAGGGGTTGGATAACCCACCGGGACATAATGCTATGGCCTTCGTCCATTGCACTACCAACAACGTAAAGGACGCAGTATGCGACCCACTCTTTCATATTACCTGTTACCGCCTACTGATTGTCGCGAAAGTAGTGTTGCGAATCCGGGTACACTGATCGTCTTTGTTCAAAGATAACATATATTCTCACTTATATATCACACCCAGCTGTTTTTTCGGTTGGTGCACTCGCTAATTTGATGTACTTTACCTTTGATGGAAACCTTGGCGACTTCTCCGTTTTACGCTGTTTTGCATTATGTCATGTCCTTGGATCAACATTGCCAGGCCACTCGTCCTTGGGTTTCTATCCGCTATTTCGCAGCCTTGATCTTTGAACTTGGCGTCCGATTGCGAAGGCGCTATATTTGGCTCCATTTGGTTTTTTGGCGTTAAATTCCACTAGTATTCAATTTTCCGCGTCGCTTTCAGGGTCATGCAAGGACCTATTTAAACATATTCACCAAATTAGATCATTTTTCCAAAACTCCATCCTTTTTCACCGCCCTCTTTCTCATCTATCAGTTCCACCCATATAGACGCTACTTCCATCGGTCCCGTATGCCACGATGACCTATATTCCGAATTTTGTATGGGGTCGCCTATTGCGTCGTTGCCCCAGCGACTATCGCCATCGTCACCACGACAACTAAGAAAAGACCTCGATAACCGATCCTTCCCTCCCAAGACGGTGAGGTCGCGGTAAGAGTCCGGGGGCCTGTACGTGGTAGGTCAAGTTGTCAGCTTTACAAAACTACACAGTAGAAGAAATAATGGGGGAGGGAAGAGGAGAGACGGAGATAAATGGGTGGTGGCGGTGGAAGTGTGACAGCACAGTTGGGAGGGGACCATCCCTGGCGGATCGTTAGTAGGCAAACAACTGAGCACTGAAAAGAAAAAGAAGGAGGCTAAGCATCAGCAAAGTAAATGGCCGGGGGGAGACGAGGAACGGGAGTTGTAAACATGCCGCGGGGCGGTGGGGGAGGCGGTTGTGGCGGGAGCACACGCCAAAGGGGTGGCCGTTCAATTCTGGCCTTATCACAGTGCTGGGCGAGAAGGCAACTGGCTTCCACGGTTAATCCAGTCCAGTCCTTTTGCACATGTCCTCAGTATCAAAATCCATTGGGATGGAAATTCGCACCGCGCCCGGAATCACAGTCGGTGTGATGGCGGCGGCGGTGGTGGTTTCAGTCCGCGATGTGACCTCTGGCACGAAGGATGGTGTCCCTGTGAACAGGGGGAGTAAACATGAGGTTATCAGAGTGGCTGTCAGGCGAAACTGTCAAAGCATTAACTAATAGACATGACAGAGGACCCACCAGTGCCGGTTTCGAATTCAAAGCAAACCCGATGTCAATAAGCGGAGTTCTGTGGTAGAGAGGCGCTCACCCATCGTTCTTACGGAACTCACTCGCTCCGTTGTGCCTCACAGGCTCTCTCTCTAGCCCAACCGGCAGCCGCACAGCGGCGCAGAATGTTATTACTGACAAAGATAAGGGAGACTGAAATGGCCATTTCCGGCTTATTAGCCGTCGTCAGCCAGTCACACCCAGCCCCGAGGAGTGGAATACCTGGGGTTCGGACTCGCGACCTGTTAATTATAAGTCCAACGTCTCTAACCAATTGGGCCACGATCTCGTTGTCCTGTCGCGAGTTCGAGCCCCAGGCGTTCCACACCTCGGGGTCGAGTTTGACTGGCTGATGACGGCTAATAAGCCAGAAACGCCATTCCAGTCTCCCTTGCCTTCGTCGGTAATCAGCGGAGATCTAGCATTTTGACAGAGAGGGAAGAGTAGTTGGGAGCAAAGTCGTAAACGTAGACAGCAGACTGTGCTCTCGGAGACGGTGGCTTATTGCTCGCATGACTTCATCAAGCAGGGACTTAGAACCACGTTTATGACTCTATCGGTCAATCTGAATTTCAGAGTGATCTGACCACCATTAGCTATCGTCTCCCTCAGGCCATGTTGACGCTAATGGTGCCAAACTCGCTAAGCAAAGGAAAATAAGGCGACATGTGTGGAAACTCGATGGGAAATTCAAAATCAAGCTCAGGAGGTACAACTAGGCCATGCAAAACAGACCTTCACGGAAGTTTAAGTGATTGTGTACGGTTTAACTGCTGACCAATTTGCACGTCCAGTACCTTAATCAGTCGTCGTCAATGTAATTAATAGGGATATGGGCAGAGCAGCTGTGTCTGACGTTTCGGGGAAGGCTAGCCATTTTGTTGGGCAGACGTCCGTTCTGATCTTACCTGGCGTATGGCAAGGTGGCCACATCCCAGTAACCGCTTCGGCCGGCGAGTCTCTACAACACCCCTGTGTGTGAAGCATGATGGAGGCAACCAGTCGCGTTGTGACACAGAGGTCCATCCGTGGTCATGTCGACCCAGGCTTCCCATAGGATCATAATTAAACGGGGCGCAGTCGTCGTCTAGCTCACTAAAACCTAACTCAAGAAGACAGGGTCGCAGGGCGCGTACGACTACGCCGATGTCAAGAAAAGTAGACACCCATGCACGATGGGGAACTGCGGGTGCCAATATAACATGATTCCTGCCTTTACTTTTTGTTCCTACTTCAGCATATCCTTAAAAATGTTGTTAGGAGACCTCTATACTAAAGTGGTGCACATTTACGAAGCGGCATCACGATATCTCCTCCAACATGGTCTCTTGGCAGAGGAAAAAATCTTGTCGCAAGCGTGATTGATCGGGTAATGTTCACGAACAAGACGGTCCATGAACAGAATGCGC